TAGAATTCCTCACCAACTTAGATTATTCTAGAACAACTTTCTAGAACTTCTTTCTAGTAACATCCTACAAAATATCTACCATGAAGTTTCTAGGAAGATACAAGTGTATGGCTAGTATTTATTCTTCTAGAAACTTCTTAGTAATGTATGGCTAGGATTAACTCTTCTACACACTTCCTAGCCCTCTTAAACAACTATAAATAGGGGTCTTGTGCTCTCATTTAAGCAAGCAAGCAAGCAAGCAAGAAGTGAGCTTGAGAGCTTGAGTGTGTAGTGTAGCCTTGTGTGAGTGTCCACCAAAATAAAGGAATTGTGTGAAAGTGAGGTGTTCTTGTAAGAACAAGTGTTGTATTCTCAAGTGTTCTATCAATAAAAGTTTCCTTTGTGTAGAGTGTTGTGTTCTTCAAATTCCATCAAAGTGGTATCAGAGCAAAGTTCGATCTAGCCGGGCCAATCGAAGGTGCTCGTGTACGAGATGGCGAACATGATCCAGCCACAGATTCCGAAGCTGATGAAGACCAATTACGACAACTGGAGTATCCAGATGAAAGTCTTGCTCGGCTCGCAAGACTTGTGGGATCTCGTAGAGAATGGCTACACTGAACCGGAGTCACCTGCAGCAGAAGCAACTCTCACCGCCACTCAGAAGAGTGAGTTGAAGGAGGTCAGAAAAAGAGACAAAAAAGCTTTGTTCCTAATATTCCAAGGCGTAGATGAATCTGCGTTTGAGAAGATTTCCAATGCCCTGTCCTCTAAAGAAGCATGGGAGATTTTACAAAAATCCTATCAAGGTGCGGAAAGAGCCAAAAAGGTACGCCTCCAAGCATTAAGAGTTGAATTTGAAAATTTGAAGATGAAAGCTACAGAATCAATATCGGATTATTTTAGTAGAGTTCAGACAATAACAAATCAAATGAAGAGAAATGGAGAAGCAATTAATGATGTAAGAATTATGGAGAAGATACTTAGGACTTTAGACTCTAAATTCAAATATATTATTCCGGCAATACAAGAGTCTAAAGATCTTTCCGAAGTATCTATTGATGAGCTGCAAGGTTCTCTGCAAGCTTATGAACAAGATATAAACATTAGTTCAAATCAAGCGGAGAATCTAGAACAAGCCTTGCAGAGTAAGATGACTATCAAAGAAGATAGTCGAAGAGGACGTGGAGGCTACAGAGGCAGAGGCTCATTTCGAGGTGGCTCAAACTTCCAGCAAGGTCGTAGGAGACAGTACCAAGGAGGCCATGAAAATCAAGATCGAAATAGAGATCGTGAACGATCATTCGATCGAGGACGAGGTCGTGGCACACGAGGACGAGGACAAGGAAGAAGTTACCATGAGGACAGATCTCAGCCACAGTGTTACAAATGTAAGAGATACGGTCATCTCAGCTACGAATGTTGGGAGAAATCAAATCAAGTGGCAGAAAGAAGCAACTTTGTAGAAAGGGAGCAGGCAGACACTTCAACAGTCCTGTTGACGTACCAGGAGAGCGAAAGCAAGAATAAAGATATCTGGTATCTAGATTCAGGTGCCAGTAACCACATGTGCGGCATCAAGGAGTTTTTTACCGAGCTGAACGAGACGGTACAAGGAGATGTCACCTTTGGAGATCAGTCAAAGATTCCAGTGAAAGGCAAGGGCAATATAATGATCCAGACAAAGACGGGCGAGAACAGGTACATCTCTGATGTCTACTATGTTCCAGCATTACGAAATAATATTTTGAGCCTAGGCCAGCTCCTTGAAAGAGGCTATGATATACATCTAAAAGACCTTGCCCTCACTATTAAAAATAAAAATGAAGTTATTGCAAAGGTGAACATGTCTAGAAATAGACTGTTTACCTTAAATATTCATGCTGACCCTGTCAAGTGCTTGAAGTCAATCATAAAAGACGAGACTTGGCTCTGGCATCTACGATTCGGGCATCTCGCTTTCAGTGGCCTGAATCTTCTATGGAAGGAGAAAATGGTAAAAGGATTGCCGCAAATCAACCATCCGAACCAGCTATGTGAAGGCTGTATGAAGGGCAAACAACATAGAAGAAGTTTCGAAGTTGGAAAGTCAAGAAGAGCAACAGAGTTGCTACAATTGGTCCACACAGATATTGCAGGACCATTTGAAGTCATCTCTCTTGGAGGAAACAGGTATTTTCTCACATTTATTGATGATTATAGCAGAAAAACTTGGGTTTATTTCCTGAAGGAGAAATCCGAAGCTCTGGAGAAATTCAAAGAATTCAAGGAGATGGTAGAAAAGCAAAGTGGGTACCACATCAAAGTGCTCCGATCAGATCGAGGTGGAGAATACACTTCGAAGGCATTCAACAATTTCAACAAGCAGTACGGGATAATTCATCAACTCACTGCCGCCTACACACCACAGCAGAATGGCATAGCAGAGCGGAAGAATCGTACCATTCTTGATATGGTCAGAAGCATGTTGAAGAGCAAGTACCTGCCAAAGACTTACTGGGCTGAAGCCGTGGACTGTGCAGTTTACCTCCTCAACAGATGTCCGACAAAGAGCGTCAAGTTCAAGACACCATTGGAGATGTGGAGCAACATCAAGCCAAGTGTCAACCACCTGAAGGTGTTTGGGTGTATTGCATATGCACACATCCCGGAGCAGAAAAGAAAGAAGTTGGACGATCGAGGAGAAAAGTGCATATTCGTTGGGTACGAGAGGAGGACAAAAGCATACAAGCTCTACAATCCAGTTACAAAGAAGATGATCATTTCAAGAGACGTGGAGTTCGATGAAGAAGATTATTGGAAATGGACCGATGAAGATAAAAATATTAAAGGTATGTTCTTTGAAGATAATGATGATGACTTGCAGGAGGTTGGAAGACCAGAACAAAGTCCACCTAATAGTCCAGCTCCATCAACCCCAACATCAACGCCGACATCATCCAGCTCAAGTGAAGGAAGCTCTTCAGGGGGAGCAACAAGGAGGATGAGAAGCCTAAGAGATCTGTACGACGATACAGAGCCTGTCGAGATGATGGATGACTACACACTATTCTGCTTGTTTGCAGAATGTGATCCGGTCAGCTATGAAGAAGCTGCTCAAGAAGATAAGTGGAGAAAAGCCATGGATGACGAGATCGAGGCAATCAAGAGAAATGACACATGGGAGCTCACTACCTTACCTGAAGGCCATAAACCAATCGGAGTAAAGTGGGTGTACAAGACAAAGACAAATCAAGATGGCGGAATCGAGAAGTACAAGGCCAGGCTTGTTGCAAAAGGCTATAGTCAGCGAGAAGGAGTTGACTATGAAGAAGTGTTCGCACCAGTCGCGAGGATCGACACCATCCGACTCATTATCGCATTGGCAGCACAGAACCGGTGGAAGATCTACCAGATGGACGTGAAGTCTGCATTCCTGAACGGCTACTTAGAAGAAGAAGTCTACATCAAGCAACCACCAGGGTACGAGGTGAAGAATCAAGAAGACAAAGTCTACAAGCTGAAGAAGGCATTGTATGGACTGAAGCAAGCGCCCAGAGCATGGAATGCCAGAATCGATGCATACTTCCAGAAGAACGGATTCCATCGGAGCCCGTATGAGCACTCTCTCTATACCAAGAAGAAGGATGAAGACATCATGATCGTATGTCTCTACGTGGACGACATGATCTTCACCGGCAACAATCCGAAAATGTTCGAGGAGTTCAAAAAGAATATGATCAAGGAGTTCGAGATGACTGACATTGGAGAAATGTCATACTTTCTTGGAGTAGAAGTGTCGCAATCAGAGAAAGGAATCTTCATCTCTCAGAAGAAGTATGCAAAGGATATCCTTCAGAAGTTCAACATGAGCAACTGCAATCCAGTCGCAACTCCTGCAGAAGTCGGAGTGAAGCTGAGGCGAGACACACCAGGAAGCTATATTGATCCAACTCTATACAAGAGTTTAGTCGGGAGCTTGCGCTACCTAACCATCACCAGGCCCGACATAGTGTTCGCGGTAGGACTGGTGAGCAGATATATGGAGGAGCCAAGACAGGAGCATTTCAAAGCAGCCAAGAGAATTCTTAGGTATGTCCGAGGAAGTATTGATCAAGGATTATTTTATACACAGTGTGCAGATTCAAGATTAGTCGGCTACACCGACAGCGATTATGGTGGAGATTTAGATGAAAGAAAGAGCACATCTGGCTACATGTTCAATATCGGATCAGCAACATTCTCATGGTCATCAAAGAAGCAGTCTGTCGTCGCTCTATCAAGTTGCGAAGCAGAATACATAGCAGCATCGACATGTGCGTGTCAAGCAATATGGCTCAGGAGTCTGATGAAGGAATTGCAACACCAACAAGAAGCACCGACAGAGATTCTCATCGACAACAAGTCAGCTATTGCACTTGCCAAAAATCCGGTAGCACATGGACGAAGCAAACACATAGAGACAAGATATCATTTCATCCGACATCAAGTTAAAAAGAAGACTGTGATGCTGTCATATTGCAAGTCTGAAGACCAAATCGCTGACATCTTCACCAAGCCACTAAAGACAGAGACATTTTTGAAGCTTAAGAAGAAGCTTGGACTTGAGAGAAATGAAAGTTGGTGATGAGGGGGAGTATTAGAATTCCTCACCAACTTAGATTATTCTAGAACAACTTTCTAGAACTTCTTTCTAGTAACATCCTACAAAATATCTACCATGAAGTTTCTAGGAAGATACAAGTGTATGGCTAGTATTTATTCTTCTAGAAACTTCTTAGTAATGTATGGCTAGGATTAACTCTTCTACACACTTCCTAGCCCTCTTAAACAACTATAAATAGGGGTCTTGTGCTCTCATTTAAGCAAGCAAGCAAGCAAGCAAGAAGTGAGCTTGAGAGCTTGAGTGTGTAGTGTAGCCTTGTGTGAGTGTCCACCAAAATAAAGGAATTGTGTGAAAGTGAGGTGTTCTTGTAAGAACAAGTGTTGTATTCTCAAGTGTTCTATCAATAAAAGTTTCCTTTGTGTAGAGTGTTGTGTTCTTCAAATTCCATCAGATAAAGTCTCAATTATTACAAATAAAGTCTCAGTCGTTAACTTAAATCTTAATTATTACAAATATAATCTACCGGCATATAACTTCTACATTACAAAACCAATCAAGCCAATACAGATGGAAAATAATCAAAGGAAAATACATAAATACAACCATATTCAGTGAACAATTGCTGCGCATGCTTTGACTCATGACAGCAGAAAAGTAAACTGAAGTAGAGAACTGAATGCTCGATATCTATCTCATAAATATCGGTTCTACTCTCCTACGTTAAATCTTCTTCAATTAGATCCAACGGTAATCATCTTCACAACAGCAGCAATAGGCATGCCAAGAAAGCCAATAAACACACTGATGAACCACAGTAACAATGTCAATGGCGTAGTGCTTGCGAATTCACCAAGGAACTGGACAATTATTATCTGAAAGATGACAGTGCAAGAAAGAACACCCACAAACACATAATTCTGCAATATGCCTTTAAAAACATCTATCTTCTCCATGTCTCTAGAGCTAAATTCATTGAAGACCTGCATACACAATCTCAAAGAATCAGCTATAGGCTAGGATTCAATAAGAAATTTGAAAGTTCAATGTCATCGCATGTGCATCACATGTAAATATAACCCATGGCATGTTTGTATCTTCATTTTTTATACACATTCTTGTTTCTCTAACAATAATAAATAGAACCAAACAATTAAACTCCTATTAGAAGTAAGCTCCGAGGCTTCAAAATTACCTGACAGAAGACGAATGTATTGAATATAAGCGTATTCCGTGTAAGATCAGCACTAGGCTCCTCAAGCCCAAATATACTTTTCCCTTGAGTCTGGAGATACCACATAACTAAAAACTGATATAATGACTGTCCAAAGATATTCCTCCACATCACATTACTTATAAAATTCCCTTTCCTCCCAACCGGCATTCGCTTCATTAAGTCATTGTTTGGTGGTTCAGTGGCCAGAACAAGTGCTCCCAGAGTGTCCATAATCATATTGACCCAAAGAAGTTGAACAGCAGTGAGCGGGGCATTTCCTGAAGCATAAAACACAAAGAAGAAAGGAATAACTCAAGAGACAAAGTGCACAATCTAATAATATTGAGAACTCAAAATATATATTTACCTGTCAGACAGGCGCTCAAGAGACAAAGTGCACAATCTAATAATATTGAGAACTCAAAATATATATTTACCTGTCAGACAGGCTGAGGAGAAATTAACAATTAACGCAACAATTATTGAGAACTCAAAATATATATTTACCTGTCAGACAGGCTGAGGAGAAATTAACAATTAACGCAACAATCTTTAACTTAGGACTGAAAATATGTACACATTTCATTTATACCCATGTCACCGAGATTTTATGAACTCAATTTGCCATCAAAGTCTAGTATCGAATGAAATTTAAACTACAAATATAAGGTAAAGAGGGATATTTTATAAATAAAGCCCTAATGAGAAACCAGTACATGATTTCAGAGCACGTACCTGGGTGCGCAAGAGGCGGCGGAGGAGATGGCGCTCGGCGAACGGGCTCGAGAACGACGACGGCGCTGGCGGAGCGGGCGTTCGAGCTCGAGAACGACGTCGGCGGAGTCGGCGAAAGAGCTCGAGAACGGCGGCGAACGAGCTCGAGAACGGCAATGGCGGAGGGGGCGAACGAGCTTGGAGGATGGCGCGGGGCCGCGGTCGGAGGTGGAGCTCGGCGGGCGATTTGGCGTCGGATCTTCGATGGGGGCGTCGGATCTCAAAGGGGGTAATTCGGTTCCAGCGAACGAATTGGGGGTAAATTATGAGGGTGGGGCTGAGGATTGCTTTTATAGCTGAGACAATTTGGGGGAAAGTGGGGTATTTGTCTCATAATTACCCCAACAAACCAATAACACCACAGAGATTACTCTAGTTCCAGTTACCCCAATGAATAACACCAATTTCAAAAATTATCCCATTATCCCAAAAATTACCCCAATGAATAACCCCCCTAAGCGAAAGGCCCATCTATGAAGGTTTATTGGCAGCTAAAGAGCATGGGAATCAAAACCACGCATGATGGTGGAGAAGGTGTTGCACATGAGACATAATAGATAGTGATACTCGAGCGGGTTGTTAGAGATGGGCTAATTAGAGCGAGACACATGGAGTTTGTTAGAGAAAAGAGTGTGCTCGTGTATAATTGTATAAAGAGCTATTATGCGTCGGTCTCTAATTTTATTTTGGGAATTTTTTTAAGAAAGACCCGTTTTGCTAAATAATTAGCAAAATCGACCATTTTGCTAATTATTTAGCAAAATCGATCTCTTTTTGGCCAATAGGTCAAAAAGAGGTCAATTTTAAAAAACAGTCTGCTCGAAACATACGGGATTAGTAGTCATGTATGTTTAGTCACTAATTTTGACTACTAATCACACCACAAAAATCTACGGGACTACTAGTCTCGTAGATTTCAAGTCTATTACAAAGTCCATAACTATACCCCATTTCTGTGGCTCAAAATGGGGAGTTGAGAAGACATCGGGTCACGCCGCAACCACACCGACGTCGAAAAAACCATAGTGATCACAGAACAAGAAACAAACAAACAGCAGCAACAACGAAAATAGTAGAGACAAGCACCAGCAACTTCCTACCAGAGGAGCGAGCATTCCTATTCAGGTGGTCGAGGGAGGGGAAACACAAGAAGGGTTTGGACGGATCGGTGTCGTTGAACCTGCAGATGCTGCTCGCAGCGTGGTGGCAGACGAAGCAATTGGAGTTGTAGGCGTCGACGGAGAGGTCCCAGCGGATGGTGAATCCTGAGCGGAGGAACGCAGACAACACGCTTGAGGCGTCACCTGCGTAGTTTGAGCTTAGATTTGGTTTGCAATGGGGGAAGAGGATGTGAGGGGAGGAGAGGAGATGGGACTGGAAAGAGGAGAGGTTGCAGTTTGGGCGGGACTGTGGTCGGGCAGAGGGAGGTGAGGCTAGGGCATGTGTTGGAGAGGAGGCGGAAGGGGGTGGAGGAGAGGTTGATGGGGTGGGAGGGGAGGGCAACCGGGGGAGGGGGGAAAGATATTCGTTTTCAAATCTTTACTTCGATAAACGAAGGAGAGATCCCTAAGCACCCTCACGATCTTTGCATCGGTGGTCAACGAGCCAAAGCACTCACGGCACATGCAAAGTCCCACAAAACAGGAGTTGATAAACAATTTCTGTGTTATTTTCTCGAGAGTTGTATTTTCATTTGGGGTGGGAGGGGAGGGCAACCGGGGGAGGGCGAAGGTGGGGAGTGAGGGGAGTTGAGAAGACATTTTGTAATACACCTGAAATCTATGGGACTAGTAGTCCCGTAGATTTTTGTGGTGTGATTAGTCGCTAATTAATGACGACTAAACATACGAGACTATTAGTCTCGTATGTTTCGAGAATACTCTCTTTTAAAATCGACCTATTTTTGACAAAAAGAGGTCCATTTTTTCTAAATAATTAGCAAAATGGTCAATTTTGCTAATTATTTAGCAAAAAAGGTCTTTTTTTTAATTCCCTTCTATTTTACTCATATTCTCTTAGTTTCATCAATGGCAGGTCCTTGAAACTGGAGTCAGGCCAGTGGTGCTGACAACCCGGTATCAGAGCAGGTTGAGGATGGGTTGGAAATGTCTGATGTCGGAAGAATAGAGTTTGATTCCCTCCGGGCAGCCGTGGAGCAGAAAGGGGTGCCATTAGTACTAGGAATAAGTGATTGAGTTGATGGGTTAGCGCGACTCATGATGGGTTTCTCTGGTCAGATGAATACCCTAGTTGAGCAGATCAGCAAGATGATGAGTGAGAGGACTCGACGAAGCATGGAATCGGTGTTGGGACATCCACCAATAGTGAGTTCCTCCCAACTCTCAAATGGTGTGCTACGAAAGGTATCATCATCAATTGGGAAGATGACCTAATTCTCAACTGGATCTACACCGAAATGCTGATCGGAATTCCCTATATTCACCAGAGAGAATGCTCATGGTGGATCTATCAGGATTCAGGTACAACAATTGTTCAGAGTACTATTCGATTTTCGATGAACAATGGGTTTGACATGTGTTTGCGGAGAAAGTTGCTTGTTTCATTGCGAGATTCATTACAAACTTCAGACATTTACAACGAATACAAAAATCAGTCTTTTTATAAGACTTTTACACAATGAAAACAAAAAAAAGTTTACAACTTTATCAAACAAACGCAGAGATCGTTTATCGGTCTTCTGCTTGCGTGGGATCTTTGCCTGTGCCGGGGTTTATCCATGGACCACCGTCGATCAGATCTGATTGCTGAAAAATTAGGCAGAGCTTCTCTAGGCTGTCTAAAAATCACAATAGATAGCTTATCCTCCATCAAACACCGATGATGAAAGTTACAATCTGACGACTTCCAGAAGGCTACAATTTGAAGACTTTCACGTAGATCGCTGAAGGTTACAATCTGACGACCTTCACGACAACCGATGAGAGCTCTAGTTCAACAGCATTCACAATCAACATCGGGAGTTACAATCTGACGATTCTCATATTCTCGAGGAGCCAAGACGAAGATTACAAGACAATGATCTTTGCAACGCTATGACAAAAGAGATTACTTTGTGATAATCTCTTCAAGACAAGACGCGGAGGTCCTCCCCGTGTGTCAACATCAAAACGCGAGGGTCGAACCCGCGTTACAACATCAAAACGCCGTGGTCGAACCCGCGTTACAACATTAAAATGCGAGGGTCGAACCCGCGTTACAATATCAAAACGCTGGAGTCGAACCCGCGTTACAATATCAAAACGTGAGGGTCGAACCCGCGTTACAACATCAAAACGTCGTGGTCGAACCCGCGTTACAACATTAAAACACGAGGGTTGAACCCGCGTTACAATATCAAAACGCTGGAGTCGAACCCGCGTTACAATATCAAAACGCGAGGGTCGAACCCGCGTTACAACATTAAAACGCCGTGGTCGAACCCGCGTTACAACATCAAAACACGATGGTCGAACTCGCGTTACAACATCAAAACGCGAGGGTCCAACCCGCGTTACAACATCAAAACGCTGGAGTTGGACCCGCGTTACAACAAGCGAAACGTGAGCGACCCTCGCGTTCTGGATGTTCAGTCAACACCCAACCTCGCGTCTCAATACTAAGACGCGAGGTTAGGGTCCTGAACGCCAGGTTGGGCGTTTGACTCATTCAAATATGAGTCGAACGGTTTCAGAACCGTTTTCCCCACGATCTGAGGAAATCACGCCCACTTAGGAGCGGATTTAGAGGGCAGTTACACCCCCTTAATCCCCTATAAAAAGCTAGTAAACTCCACTGAGTTCGATTTTTCTTGGCTTGAATCGACCATTGAAGGCTGGCTTTTTGGAGCTGAGAATTGGCAGCAACAGGGGAGATCATTGGGCGAACTTCAGAAGAGATCGGCATCATCCTTCAAGGAAGATCATCTTCAACGTTCGGCAACAGGAGCTTCCTCATCCTTGGCTATTAACCGATTTTCGGTTTAAATCAACTCTTTTTCAAGAGTTAAAACTCGTTCAGAGTTATCAACTCATTCAGAGTTATAAAACTTGCCACGCAAGTTCTCCACAACGTCAAATCGTGAGGAGAAGACATCGTTCTAGTGAATCAAGACGTGTGGATCATGAACGGAGAGCAAACTCGACGCGAGCATTCGAGGGAGGCACTCCATCGCCACCGTGAAGAACCCAGTTTTAAACAAAGGGGAGAATCAAATTCATTCTCCTCTCTTTTGTAATCGGAATCCAAATTGTAATTGATTTTGAGAGGAATACAAGTCAAAATTTTCTTTCATTGTCTTTTTACTGTAAATTTCCAACAAACAGCTTCGTCTATCCGCGAAGGGATCGAGAAACCGTAGTTCTTATCTCGGCGAAGCGAGATAATCACTCTTCTTAAGATTACCACAGCGAAGCGAGATAATCACTCTTCTTAAGATTACCACAACGGGATAATCCTAAGGAACGGATCCGGGCTGCAGATCTAACTCCTCCTCCTCTTACCACAACGGGATAATCCTAAGGAACGGATCCGGGCTGCAGATCTAACTCCTCCTCCTCTTTGAAATCTATGCATTTTAAGTCTTCAATCCGGTAGGGCTTCGCCGAGGTACGAGAATTCCAGATCTCCCCAAAAAAATGAGGCTCCGGGGCTTCTATTTATAGGCACGGGACAAAAACTTCTTGGAGACACCTCAGGGTGTCTCAAACTTGGCCGAGACACCCTAGGGTGTCTCAAACTGCTCCGAGACACCCTAGGGTGTCTCAACTTGGGCCGAGACACCCTAGGGTGTCTCGGCCTTGGCCGAGACACCACGTGGTGTCTCACCTAAGGTTGAGACGTATTTTCACCTCCTCGTCCGTTCCCGCCGTAATTTCTTTGTCTGAACTCGGATTTGAGTGATTCAAAGTGCGTTGGAAAGCTGACGAAGAGTTCTATAAGCTCCAATGATTATATCATCAGTTGAACAAATGAGACACGAAGGGTATTTCGCCGTTTGTGAACGATACGAGGTTCCCGATCAGTTCGTATCTTCATCATTCCGAAGTTCCGTTGTTTCACGTAGTTCGTCGGTTTACTTCAAGCGTTCACCGACATCAATCAAGTTTCTGTGAACCAGATGATGACGTTCGTCGTCATTTCTTAACACTGA